TTGCTACCATCTCAGAATAAAATTTGAATGGATAAGGAGTTGCTTCTTATGTGTGAGCAAAAAAAAAAGTGGTTTCTTTAAATGGAATCTACTCCTGGTGAAGATGCTGGGAACATAGTTGAAATGACAACTAAGGATTTATAATATTACATAAACTTAGTTGATAATGCACGGCATGGTATGAGAGGATTGACTCCAATTTTGGAAGAAGTTCTATTGAGGGTAAAATACTATCAGGCAGCTTCGTATGCTACCAAAAAATCTTTTGTGAAAGAAAGAGTAAATCTGTGCAGCAAACTTCGCTGTTGTCTTATTTGAAGAAATTGCCATGACTACCCCAGCATTTAGCAGCCACCACTCTGATCCGTCAGCAGCCAACATCATAATTAATTAGTTGTAGTAATTAAGACAGTATGATACTGATTCAAGGATAGACAGATATCCTAATATAACAATCTACTGTTGTATAACAATAGAGCTGAAGGAAGCAGTTAAAAGAAGACCCTAGCCCCACAAATAACTGTAAATGTGCCACATTTCAGACGTAGTGATGCAGATTTGGGAATTGGGGAGTGCTGGGACTATTGCACATGTGTATACTGAGAAAAACTATGTATTTATCTCACATCAAATATAGAAAAATCAGTTACATGTAAATTAAAGGCCTAAATATGGAAAGGAAAGCTATATCCACATTTTAGAATAAAATATAAGGAAGTCTCATTATTATCTAAGTTAGAAAAGGATTTCTTGAATAACTTAGCAAACACAAATAGTATAACAAAATATTGATACATTTGATCCTATTACACTGAAAAATTAGTGCTCCAAAAGACTCCAGGGATAAAATGATAGAGCATGACAGGTTGAGACTATACCTACTACATGCATAACCAACCAATTAATTTCCAGGATTTCTGGGGAATTTCTACAATAAAATTTTTAAAATGAACTCAGAGCTAGGTATTTTATCTGTAGCTATTATGAATGGGATTACTTTCTTGGTTTCTTTTCCAGATGGCTAGCTGTTGGTGTATAGAAATGCTACTGATTCTGTGTGTTGATTTTTATATCCTGCAACTTTACTGAATTTGTTTATCAGTTCTAATAGGTTTTTTTTTTTTGGAGTCTTTAGATATCTCTAAATATAAGAAGATCATATTGTCTGCAAACAAAGATAATTTGACTACTTCCTTTCCAATTTAGATGCCCTTTATTTTTTTCTCTTGTCTGAGTGCTCAGCTTGAACTTCCAGTACTATGTTGAATAACAGTGGTGAAAGTATGTATCTTTGTCTTGTTCCACATCTCAGAGGAAAGGCTTTCAGTTTTTCTCTATTCAGTACGATAGTAGCTATGGGTCTGTCATATATGACTTTATTGTATTAAGTTTTTCTAAAAGTAACCAGAGAAGTGAAAGATCTCTATAATGAAAACTATAAAATATTGATGAAAGAAATTAAAGAGGACACAAATAAATGGAAAACTATTCCATGCTCATGGATTGGAAGAATCAATATTGTTGAAATGCCCATACTATCCAAAGCAATCTACAGATTCAGTGAAATCCCCATCAATATGACAATGACATTCTTCACAGAAATAAAAAAAAATCCCAAAATTTATGTGGAACCATAAAAGACCCTGAATACTCAAAGCCATCCTGAGCAAAAAGAACAAAACTGGAGGAAACACATTACCCAACTTCAAATTATACTACAGAGCTATAGCAACCCAAACAGCAGGTACTGATATAAAAACAGACACGTAGACCAATGGAACAGAATAGAGAACCCAGAAATAAATCCACACATCTGTAGTGAATTTATCTTGGATAAAATTGCCAAGAACATACATTGGGGAAAGGGTAGTCTCTTCAACAATTAGTGCTGGGAAAACTGGATATCCATATGCAGAAGAATGAAACTGGACCCTTATCTTTTACCATATACAAAAATCAAATCAAGGTGGACCAAAGACTTAAATCTAAGACCTAAAACTATGAAACTACTAAAAGAAAATATTGAAATAACACTTCAAAACCTTGATCTGGGCAAGGACATCTTGAGTAATATCCCCAAAGCACAGGCAACCTAAGCAAAATGAGACAAATGGGATCATATCAAGCCCAAAACCTTCTGCACAGTGAAGGAAACAATCAACAAAGTGAAGAGAACCCACAGAATGGAAGAAAATATTTACAAACTACCCATTTGACAAGAAATGAACTACAATATATAAGGAGCTCTAACAACTCAATAGGAAAAAATCAAATAATCTGAATAAAAAATGTGCAAAGGGTCTGTATAGACATTTCTCAAAACAAGACATACACCTGGCCAATAGGTATATAAAAAATGCTTGACATCATTATTCATCAAAGAAATGCAAATCAAAACTACAATGAGACATCCTCTCACCACAGTTAAAATGTCTTTTTATCAAAAAGACAGGTAGTAATGGATACTGGAGAGAATGTGAAGAAAGGGAAAACCTTGTACACTGTTGGTGGAAGTATAAATTAGTGTAAACACTATGGAGAACAGTACGGAGGTTCATCAAGAAACTAAGAATAGAACTACCATATGACCCAGCAATCCCACTGCTGGGTATATATCCCAAAGAAAGGAAATCAGTATATTGAAAATTTATCTGCACTCCCATGATTATTGTAGCACTACTCACATCTACTCACAAGATTTGGAATCAACCTAAGTGTCCATCAATGGATGAATAGATAAAGAAATTGTGGTATATATACATAATGGTATATTATGTAGCCACAAAAAAGAATGAAATTTTGTTGTTTGCAACAACATAGATGGAACTAGATACCATTATGTTAAGTGAAATAAGCCAAGTACAGAAAGACAAATCTCACGTTTTCACTCATATGTGGGAGCTATATATTGAAAACAATTGATCTCAGGGAGACAGAGAATAGAATCATGGTTACCAGAGGCTGGAAGGGGTAGCCGAGAGGTGAGATGAAGTGAGATGGTTAATGGGTTCAAAAATATAGTTGAACAGAATGAACAATATTTGATAGCATGACAAAGTGATTAAAATCAACAATAAGTTAAGGTATACTTTAAAATAACTAAAACAGTGGAATTGAAATGTTCTTAACACAAAGAAATGATAAATTCCTGAGGTGACAGATACCGCACTTTCCCTGATTTTATTAATTCAAATTGTATGCCTGTATCAAAATATCACATATACTCATATAATTAAAAATTTTAAAAATGAACCCATATAGTAGAAAATGGCTTTGGATTTTGGTGGGGGTGAGGGATAGGTAACAGTTAATATACAGTTGGAATCCAAATGGCAAAAAACAAAAGAAAAACCAACATACGAAAAGATGTAGATGTTCAGCTTCACAAACAATGAGAAAAATATATATTAAATTCATGGCAGACTACCATTTCACTCAGCAAAAATGAAAAAACTCTTGACAATACATATGATATTGAGAAATCTCATATACTATCAGTAAGATTATAAATTTGCCAATCACTAGAGACATTAGGCAATATCTAGTTAAGTTGAAGTTTTGATATTTTGTTCAATATGTATAAATGTTTAGATGAGAGTTGATTTCCTTAAATGTGCATACTGTAGTGTTGAAACGATCTTTTAATCTTTTAAAGTAGTTCTTATATATTTCATTGGCAATAAAACTGGTTTATTTTCCCTCGGCATTCTCTCTTTATTGGGGTTATGTCATCTAATTCATTAGTATCTTCTTTGTGGTTTAACCCTTTGCACTTGGATGTCGAGTGTGGATAATGTCAAGTGGATGATGAGAAAAAAGCAAGGGAGTGCAAAGGGTTAAAGGGATTATGCTGATGCTATAAATTTGCTCTCAATATCTAAGAGTATGTTTCTTTTTCTTTCTTTTTTTTTTTTTAGCCACCACAACAGAAGGGAGTATGTTTATTAATGCAGGAGATTGTAGTAGTTCTACAAGCTCTCTCTAGTGGGGATGATAATAAAAAAGTAATATAAATTCTGACATTTTGTCTTATTTTTATCTCTGTGACTTTTAGATTGCCTAGTGGCTTTTACTAGAAAGTCTAGTGATTTTTTTTTTTTTTTATCACCACTAACCTTCTTGTGTGAAAGAAGCACCCAAATTGGGGAACACCTAGAATTCTTTAAGAATTACCTCTGTGGAAAAAATAACTTTTTTCCTGATAATGTCATTCTTAAAATCCCTCCAGCTATTAAGAGTTCCCTTTCTGGTAACTTTAAAGTGAGTATCATGTTCTCAGAAGAATACATGCCAGGAGGGAATGTAAAGATGTTCTTACTGGATTCAAATAGCTGTTCCTCTAATTAATGTTTTATCAGTAGAATATGAATTTTTTCAATGGCTTCTATGATGAAACCTGTTATAATCTCAATCATTTTGCTCTAAACTTTTGTTACAGTGTATACTTTTTCTAGCATATAATTTACCTTTATTACTCAGTTATGTTAGTAAAGCCTACCCTGCCAGGGCATGCAGAGGAACTTGTTAAGTGTTCATTGCATTATAGTAATTTAATATTGAATAATATTAAATATTGGATAATATTGAAATTAATAAATACAGAAGTATCGCCCCATAATCCCCTGACCAAGGAGAGAGAACTTGAACCAGAAGATCTTCATCTTTCCTCAGGCCTGGGTTCCAGTTTTGTCTTTATAGATAGTTTTGCAGAAGGGACTTTATAAATTTTCACTCTGTTCCCAGGATAGTAAATACCACAAAGAACAGATGGGAAGCATGGATGCTTCTGGTCATGATAAATTCTCCTAATGGGGTGAATTATAATGTTGGAACATTTGGAATTATAGCAACAGGGATTCCTTTTTTATTTGAACTAGAAGAATATTAAAATGAGATTAAGCAAGCTTTTAGTTATACTTACTATGTCCCGTTTCTCAAGGATTATGTGTTGAAACTACTGATGAGAACTTTGTTTTTCCATTCTTTCTGTACTTCTTCAGACCAGATGGAGACTATGCATCTTCACTTAATGGTGGAAATATTAAAAGCATTGAAGGAAATTCTTCTGGACACTTACCAAAGTTCTGCCATGAGTGTGGGACTAAATACCCTGTAGAATGGGCCAAGTTCTGCTGTGAATGTGGCATTCGAAGAATGATTCTGTGAACAAAATCCCAAAAGAAAAAGAGCCAAGTTCAGAGTTTTATGGTTATTGCTGCTTGAACAGCTAGAGCACTTCCTCTAGTTATTTTCTGCTAAAAATATTCAAAATACCTTTTCCAGTAATTTTTGGAGCATAATCTTTTGGCTATGTAATGTGTGTGTGTATATATGTGTACATATATTGTATATAATAAATACCTGATACCCCTCCTTGACTGTGCCCTTCAAGGAAATATTCACTTAACTGTCAGAAATAAATGGAATCATTAATTTAGGTATTATTAATACTTTTCTGTTGTTTCAAAGCACATTAAGTGTACTTCCATAATCTTTCATATTCTAGTGCTTAGTCCTTCAAGCTTTAGGATAATCATAACTTTGAACAAAAATTTGAGTAAATATTTCTATTGTGCCTGTCTTCAGGTACTATCATAGTAGATGGATGGTGGGAATTTTGTAAATGAAAAGAATGTTTTTAGTTACTATTAGGGATGAGAGGTCATTTTCCTGTTGAACTCTTTAAAACTTGTTTTATGAATCCTAAAAAATAAGAGAGAATAAAAACCCCTATTATACAATTTAAAGATCTTTGCTCATTCTGTGAAAATGTAATTATGCCATTTCCTTTTGAGAAACATACGCATAAGACTAAAAACAAATATATCCTATTTATAATGAAATGTTTTCATTTTATCTCTATGTATGAGTTGAACATATATTCTTTCTACTTCTAATTATGTTTTCAGGTTTCACTTTTTTTCCCATAACCTATCTGAAGAGTAGTTTTAATTAGCTACTTCATTTTTTGTGGTATTTGAAAATGTAATTATTTAGCATAAAATGCCCAAAATCCCTTGCAAAATTTTACATGTTTTTGTATCTGAATTTAGAAGAAATTATTTTAATTCATTTTAAAGCAAACCACCTCACTTAATAAATAGTGGTTGTGGTAATTATTAGTACAGAGCATGCAAGTAAAAAATATTTGAATTTTGGTTCACTGAAGTAGTTAAATGTAGTTATGATAGGTTAAGAGAATATCTAACTTTCCTACTCAGTTTCTTCTTCAGTGTTTAATGTTGAAACACCATTCACGTCACAATAAAAAACCACTGATAATGTATTATGCATAGCTGACTTATGTATACAAACATACACAAAAATTTAATTATTTTTTCTCTTTAACTTGACCAAAATACATCTTTTCATCATCATTGTCATCTTCAATGTAATAATATTTAATAGTAGATCTCCTTGATGGCTTGTGCAGCCATATTCAGTAATACTGTAGTGTTTTCTTTCTTTTGTACCTGAGAGAGCTTTGATCTTATTATAAAATTACAAGCAAATCTTTTAGATTCTATGTAATTTTTAGCTTTTTGCTTTTGATTATGGTCAACTGTAAGGATCAATGTAAAGATTTTTGGCTTGTAATTTCTCTGACATTTATTTATTTAGCTTTTTTCCGTTATTTTTTGTTTGATTTGGGGATGTAAATTTAGTAGTAATAGGAATTATCATTGTACTTACAGTTTCTTACTTATTTTTTATTAGTTTTTTCCCAGTTATCTTTATTCAGTCATATTGGTGAAAAAAATAGTTCAACTAGAATAAACTGTAGCAAATTTAGAAGACTAATGTAAATATTAAATTTCCATTTTAATAACTTCTGTCCTAATTGTTATAAATCATATGAAGAAGAACTTTAATCACTTGTTTTATCTAGGACTGAGCACTATTTTCTTTCAAATATTTTCTAGGACCACATAATTTTTTGTCTGCTCAAGGAAGGGGTAGATAAATGAGTTTAAATTAAATAATTGGCACATATTTGTTTCTCACTGAATTTTACAATAGCAAATAAATGCTATACCACATGGAAATGAGATGGTAAGAAATCATCCAATTCCAGAGCTCCAATTTTTACAAACAGTAGGTAAAATAAATTTATGACTTATGAAACATGTTGTGACAATGTATTTAAATATATTGCATATTTTATTTTCACATTGACTTGTGCAATAGTTTGGTTTTTAAGTAATCTTCCTATGCATCATTATTTTATTTTTATTTATTTTCACAAGTTTTCGACTGTGGTATAATAAAAAATGATTGTAATCTTAAATTAAAAATGTAAAAATTGCTAAAATGTTCCAAAAGTTATTAGCTTGAAAAAGTAAGTTTATTGTGGCTACTATTGTTTCTTGTCCACTATATGTTTTTTTATTGCAAATGACATTTTCACTTTTGAAGCTATTCAATAAAGACTTGAAGCATAAAAATACTAGTTGGTATTCACTGATGTCTTTTAGCCAGACATAGATATAAGGATAGGAACCCACTGAAATATAAAGAAAGTATGCACCATCAAAAATACAGATTTTTTAAAATGAGAAATCTGTATTTTTATACTGTCAACTTTTAAAAAATGTATTATCTTTTTAGATTGAAGTGTTTCATGACTTCAAGGTATTATAAATATGTTTTCATTAAAGATTTTTGAGGCATAGAAACATTTTCTTCATGGCCAATAAAGTTTAGCAATTGAAAACATTAATGATGTCAATTTTAATAGGAAACGTGGATATTTCTACTTAAGTACTTATAAAGTTTAATGGCTATTTGTGATGGATTTAATGATTTAAATCATCTCCATATTTAGAACATTAAAAAGGAGTTACCTAGTGAAAATATCAGATTAGACATGTTTAATTTGTACTCAATTTTCCTTTGTCTAGAGGTGAACACTTACGTTGAAGTTCAGGAAATGAAAAAATAACAGACGTATACTGATACACAGAGTCAACAGAACTTTTGGGTATTTATTTTCATTCCATGTATGTATGTATGTATTTTATATGGTAAGTATATTTTTAGTACTAAAGTAGGTGTTTTTTTTTTTTTCCAACTCACTATATTATTGAATAGAGCAATGGATATTTATTAAAACAAAGTTAATGATAGCCAAACTCATTTTCATTTAGAAAATTTGTAGTTAAATATTCAGGATGCTCCTTATTTAACACATTGACTGCCACACTAGAAAAAAGTTTTTTTTGCCTTGGGGCCACAGTGTTTTGTTACAAAAATAGAATAAAAACTTTGGAAACAAAATGATCCTTTCTAATTTAATGAAAAATTTGTTACTTTTTATTGTTTTCTGTGCATGAGTTAAATGCAACTTGAAAAATAGTTCTCATGGCTCCCAAGGTGAAGAGATATGTGAGTTACATATGCTTCACAATGCCCTGGGCTCAAAACCAGTGTGAGTTAAATAGAACTCATATGGCAGTTAATGTGTTAAGTACAGTTTTGCTTAGTTTATATGTGAATTGCTTTTTTGCCACTAGAGGGTGCTTTTGGATAATTTAATACTACTAGCTTCCAATTATTTTAAAAGCCTCTCAGCAATATAGATAGGTATGATTTTTTTTTTTTTTTTGACCATATGAAATTGCAGAGGCAAAGGGTAGATTTTGGGGGATTTTAATAATACATATGTTGATATCTTAAAAACCTAGTTGAGCTTATTTGGAGCACCAGCATTGTAATAATTGATAAAAATATTTAATAGTTACACTTCACAATATTTTGTTAGCAAAATTACACATCTAAAGCATGCCATATTCACAGCACAATTCACAATTGCAAAGATAGGTAACAAACCTAAGTGCTCGTCAACTGATGAGTCAATAAAGAAAATGTGATATACATATAACGTGGAATACGACTCAGCCATTAAAAAGAATGAAGTAATGTCTTTTGGAGCAACTTGGATGGAACTGGAGGCCATTATTTTAAGTGAAGTAACTCAGGAACAAAAAAACCAAACATCACATGTTCTCATAAGTGGGAGCTAAGGAATCATGGTTATACAGAGTGACTTAATGGACATTGGAGACTCAGAAGGGGGAAGGTGGGGGAGTCGGGATGAAAAATTACCTATTAACTACAATGTACACTATTCAGGTGACAGGTACACTTAAAGCCCAGACTTCACTTTACAATTCATTCATGTAACCGAAAACCATTTGTACCCCTTCAAGCTATTAGAATTTTTAAAAAGCATATCACTCATGTACAAATACTCCTTTAAATATTACTTTACACTAATATTTATGCATCTAAAGCATATCATATTTTCAGCACAATTTATCTTTTGAAAATCCTATGTTTGGTGAATTTTCTGTTTTAAACTTCACTGCTTCAAAATCATAGAGTTTAGTTTTCCATCCTTTATTACAGCTAGAATAGTCATGTGACTTGGGGCTACTGATCAGACTTGAATTCTGAAACAAGTAACGTGGAGCAGATACTGTGCAGTCTGCGCTTCCTAGTGAGTACTAGGAAATGTTAGTTGTACAACAGTTAAGTAAGTTACAATCTCCTCTAAGATACTAATATTTCATCTTAGTTGTACAACCATTTAATAAGTTTTAATCTTTTAAGGATACTAATATTTCATCTTAGTTGTACAACTTAGTGATAATTTTATTTAAGATAAAGATCTTTTTTTTTTTCCCTAATGCTCTAGATTAACTTAACATTACCTAACATATGAGAGTGGGAACTATTTAAATAGTAGCTAATAAGTGGACCAGCTAATGTGAAGTGCACAAAGCTAAAGCTTTATGCCTACCTTTAAAAAATGCTTCATATACTCTTCATGCTATGAAATGCTGGGGATCAAGAGAATAAATAACATGTGATTAAGTCCCTGCCCTCAAGTTGATATAACTTATTTGGAGGGAATGATATATAAACAGGTAATTACAACTTAGGAAAGAAAGAAGTGGTTTATTTTAATGGAACTTTTCTTTATTATGAAGGTACCAACAAAGTGCTGCAGAAGTATTGAAGAGGGACACGAGTTATACAGCTGACCATTTTCTGTTTTTTTTTTCTTTTTTTCTTCTCTGTTTCAATGCTTAGGCAGAGACCTGAAAGAATATGAACAAGAACCGCATTACCTTTTAGTGGGGAAAAGGGAAGTGGCAGTGGAAAGAATATGTGTGTGGTAGGACCTGTTGGATTTGTAAAATGTGAATAGCTTCTACAGTCCTGAAGACTGAGGAAAAGCAACATTGAGTAAAAGTTATTGATGATTCCATCAGTTCAATCTTATATCCCATAACATAATCCTCCCCTCCTTTCCCTCTTCACAAACACCTCTATTTCTTTGCTTATTTTGAATTTACAGCAATTAGGCTGGGGATAGGAGATAGCCAGTGGTGCTGAGTACTGTTGCATACACTTGACAATGAAATGCTGATTTTCACTAATCAAATCAGCAGTATTAATTTATTATAAAACTGAAAGCCCTCCATGGGGCATTAATATGAAATTTAAGGTAGAATATATTTCCACCTTATTTAGTTATGGTAGAAATATAAATTTATAATAATTTTTGAAAAGATTGGGTAAATTCACTTTAAAAACCTTTAAAATATTGATGCCTTATAACCTAGTAATTTTATTTCTATAACACATTTCTTCTTAGGGAAACAATCTGAAATATAGAATATTTATGCAGAATATGATTAATAATGCTATCTAGTGATAAAAATTGAGGAAAATTTAGTAAATTAGTCATAAAAGCAATTGTGAATAATTTTAATGGCATAACAAGGCTATGCTTTATTGCTAGGAGGAAAAATTAAAATAGTGCATGTGTATAAAATATGATTCCAATTATATAAAAAAGTATACAGATAAAGGCTGGAAATATATTCTAATATATTGTGCTTATTTTTACTAAATGACAGTAAGTTAATTTTCTTTAAAGTTTTTATATTTTCAATTTTTAAAGGAATGCATGTTTTATAGTCTTTAAAAAGCAAAGAGTGGTTTTTCAGAATTGATCACTCTCATGTGACAGTATTTTATCTAAAATTGCTACCTCTTCCATTGTTTTCTAACATTCACAGATATAGATGATACCCTTGTATCATTTAAGCTAGGTTCTTGTTATAATACCTTTATTGCTGAAAGTGGTCTTGTCAAGTCTAGGTATAATTTTAAATGAAATTATTTTTCCTAAATTTCATTTAAGAGAACACTCTAAAACAGGGTTTTGGGTTTTATAATATTCTTGCCCTTTTTATCACCTATGATTTGAGGAGTCCAAAAATCAAGTAAATTTTTACTTCATAAAACATAAAATAAAAATTAAACTTGATCTAAATATTTACAAGGTGTTTTGCCATGCTGTTGTTGAGCTGGGGGAAAATATATGTGTATCTCTATATATCCATATCTATATCTATGTATTAAACATTTAGATCTGTTTTCACATATTTACCTATTTAAAACTTAAAAAAAAAGTCTTCTTATTTTCTTCTATTATTTTAGTCAAGAAGAATTCTTTAAGAACCAGAAAAGTTTTTAAAAGTATATATATTTTACTACTTTTCCCAAACTTATGGTCCTTATAGGGAAAACTCATATAAACTCTGCAAGAAATATTAGGAATTTAAAAGTTTGTTTTAAACACTAATTATTGAACTGTGACATGCTATTCAATTAACTATTAATTTGAAATTTTAAAACAATAGGTTTTTCAATAATGTCTTAATAAAGACAAAATCAGAGCATCATTTGAATGAGCAACATGTGCTAGACTAGTCTGTACCCTCCCTGAGGCACCATATTCTCATGGTTTTTCCTTTCAGTAAACATTCCCATGGTTCTCCCTCTTGTTTCAGGAGAAAGAGTGTTTCTCACTGATACCATTACCAGAAAGCTATTTTTGAGGGGGAGGGATCTTATCATTCATTGGCTCAGATACTTTACCATAGTTTAGAAAACATTGGACAGTATTAGAAATTAAACACCACTCAAGTCATATCTACTAGTGAAAAATTATCTTGATGTGGATGCTTTTCCCACCTAAATTTTGGTTTGTCTGTAATGGGCATTTATCATGTTTATAGTTAGCGTCTTTTGAAAATTCTCCCATGTTTGATGATTTTTCTGTATTAAACTTCACTGCTTCAAAATCATAGACTTTAGTTTTCCATCCTTTCTTACCACTAGAGAGTAGTCATGTGACTTGGGACTACTCAACAGACTTGGATTCTGAAACAAGAAATGTGGAGCAGATATTGTGCAGTCTGCATTTCCTACTGAGCACCGTGGAGCTTAGTGGAGAGACAATGAACTGCAAAGGTAGCAGTGGCAGAGAGTCAAGAAGTGACACCCTTATTGCAAGATGTAGCCTGTTCCCCATGACAGCACTTTAGCTGACTATACTCCGCTGGAGTAGTCAGTGATTATAATTTGCCATTGTGTCTGTCTGAACAGCCTCCCAACTTGACTATCTGGCTCTCCCAGGGATTCTGTGAATTTCCCAATAGCTTTTAATAAAGTCCTTTTTGTTTAAATAAACTATACTGGGATCTGCTATTTGCACTCAAAAATTCTTCAACAAATAAATTTGGTATAATCTCATGCTTCCCTTTTAAAATGTCTGTGTAATCGGGGAAATGTTAAAACCATATTCTACCAGAGGGAATCTTCAATATACCGAGTTAAGACACATTTCTTATCCCAATCATATAGTGTTAGATAATCACAAACTGAGTTTTAAGAAATATGCTTTGAGTAGGATTATACCTATCTTGTGGAACTAATTAAAGGATTATCAGAAATACATATAAAATCTTTGACATAATGTCTGATACTTAATAGACTCTCAGTAAAAAATATCAAGTATTATATAATTTTAGTTATATGTGCATATTATATGTTGATCAAATATTTAATTTCTGCCAGGCAGTGAATTATTCTAGGTGCAGTGAACAAAGCAGTCAAAAATCCCCGCCCTTTTGAAGTTCACATTCTAGCGGAGGAAGATTGAAAATAAAGACAATGAATAAGTAAATGTGCTTTATATTAGACTGTAACAATGCTATTGAAAAAAGTGGGGGAGGGGGCATTAAATGAGTGACATGACGAAGAATGGAAGTGAGTTACAACTTTAGGTAAGGTGTTTAGGAATGATTTTATTGAGAAAGTGATATTGAGGATAGACCTGAAAAAGTGAGTGAACCATTATTATTTATCTTTTTTGTCTCCTACACTTAATTGTTTATTGGATTATTTCCCCTTAACTTGTAGTGCTTTCTGTTAAAGAGTATTCAATATGGCTGAAATGTGCAAGTGGATAAGAAAGTATTTCATGCAGAGGATAAAATAAGTGCAAAGGCTCCGAGGTGGTAGCCTCGTACCTCTGGAATGGTATGTACATGGAGATGAGTTAAAAATTAAGTCAGGTAACCAGGCAGTCAGATTGTGTCTGCTGTAGAGGCCGTTAATTACTTTGGCTTACTCAGGGTAAGATAGGAATTGATCCAGCTTGAACATATGATCTGAATGTATGTTCTTTGGCCCCTAAATTAGTGAGATAAAAGCAAGAGAAAATGGTTGTCTCTCACTCTTCCCTAAAGTGGCCACATGTATTGATCAAATTAAGTATTCTTAGCACTCAGCTTTCAGAAAAGTATTAATATTACACTATCTAATGTAGAGTTGGAGCCACTGGAAACTTCCTTCCCACCTGAGTATAACACAAAAGGAGCAGTTTCCTAACTTCGCAACAGGTGCCCTCCAGTCTAATCTTCCATCCTTACACCCGCTTATTAAAAATAAAGCCCTATTTTCTATTGACTCATCTACTTTGTCTTGCTAAGAAGGCAAAGTTAGTCATTAATTCTACTTTCTTAATATAGTACCTAGTGTTCATAAACAAACTTATCTTTCATTCTTATTTGCTCATTCATCAGTGTTAAATAGTAGAACCTTTATATATAAGGGACAGAGATTCTTCTAAGTAATCTTGAGAAAAGAGATTTGACAGAAGGTGCATGTGGTTTAGACTGGAAGGTCATTAGGTCCTGAGAAATGTCCAAACATCAGTCTATCTGTCAGCCTCTATGCTTCTCTTAGCTCATCTGTCCATTTTCTGTTATCTGACTTCTTCACTCACTACTCTGTATCTCTTTTGCTACTCTACTCCTTCAGCTTGCCAGTGTCCAACTTAATTAAATTTTACAACTTCCTATTTCAAGCTGATAAATACGTATCAAAATTTTCTGATGATAGTGTGATGAGTAGTTTAAAAAGGCAAATTCAATGCACCTATTATTTGCATAATACCAACTTCAGAAAGTAAGTTGATAGAAGCTTGGCTAGCTGAGTTACACAGAAGATAAATTAAGAATTTTAAAGGTGAGATTTCAAAAGTTTCTACATTCACAGAAGACATGATCTCTATTTTGCAGATGTCATTACTATGTAGAAAATCTCCATCTACAAAAAGCTAGAACAAGTGAGTTTAGTACAATCATAGGATACAAGGACAAGATACAAAAGTCAGTCATTCTTATATGCCAGCAATGAACTGTACAAATTTGAATTTTAAAATACTGTTTCTAATGGCACATATGTACATACACATCAAAATAAATAGTTATGCATATATCTGACAAATCATGTGTAGGATGTATATGCTTAAAACTATATAAAACACTAATGAGAGAAGCTAAAGAAGATCTAAATAGAGAAATATACCATGTTTCTTTTTTTTTTCTTTTTTTTTTCTTTGCCTGCAGAAAATGGACTTTTCTTTTTTTTTTTTTATTTTTTTTTAATATACCATGTTTCTTAATGCAAAGGATAAACATAGTGAAGGTATCAATTCTTTCCCAATTTAATTTATAGACTTGAGGTAATTTGTCGAAATTCCAACAGGCATTTTTACTGATTTCACAGGCTGATTCTAAAATATATATGGAAGGCAGAAGAATTGGAATAGCCAAAATAACTCTGAAAATGAAAAAAAAAATTGGAGGACTCTAATGACCCAATTTCTAGACATATAAAGCTATAGTATTCAAGACAGTGTGGTATTGGACAAAGGACAGACACATAGATCACTGGA